AGCAACACCGAGTTAGACAGGCGGTCAGTTAACCCCTCTCTGCAGTCCGGAAACGGAGAGCCAGGCTCAGAGTAAGTCAGGTTGCTGATCGATAACGCGTCCTCCTCCTCACATTGTATTTGTCCTTTCTTTTCTTTCTTTCTCTTTTCTTTCTTGCGCTTTTTGTGTGTTTCTTTCTCTTTCCTACTTTATTGTTTCTTGTTCTTTTTCCTTCTTCCACTTTTCTCTCTTGCTTTCTTGATTTTTTTTGCTTTGCAGTGTTTTCCTTTTTCTCCCTTATCACCTTCTCACTCATCCTATTATTTCTATATTCCCCCAGAACAAGAAGGCAAAGGAGAAAAAAGAGAAAAGGAGAGCAGGAGAAAGACAGAGAGAGACAGGGAGAGAGCGAGAGCAGGAATAAAGGAGAAAAGGAAAAGAAGCAAGTGAAAAGAAGAGAAAGAGGATATGAACGGATCCACAAAAAAGGTAAATACAGAGAAAAGCGAAGAAAGGGAAAAGCCAAGAGAAGGAAAAGAGTTCTTGTCAATTCCTTTTCCTTTGTTTTTCCTTTCTTTTCCTTGTCTGTATCTCTCTTTCATTGCTTTTCTCTACTGAAAATAACAGGTGAAAAAGCAGCAGTGCGATGGGCTAGAGCGGCAGAGGCAAGATTGGAGGTTGCTCTTGTAAGTGCTGGAGAGTGCATTGAACTAGTTTTGTCGGAGAAGCTAAACGAAATGAATCAAACTGATGATCTATTGTATCTATACACAATGAGTGTGGGAACAGAAATCAAGTTGTACTTGGCCATAGGGGCAAAGGACTCATACAGACTTAAGCCCCAAACTGCGGTGTCATGATACCAGCCAAGGGCCAGGGAGCTGGTGCCAGCTGCACCATTACGCTCAACACGTGTGGTAAAAAGGTGCCATGTCCAAACCAGTTTTCTTTCTTACTCTAATTGGCAACCTCTTCGCCCCTCACCGCCAACGCCTCGCAGCGCCAGAAGTGGAATATGTTTGCTAAGAAGCCTGCCCTGGCACTTCAGTCCAGCATCTCAAGTGTAGCACTGGCAAAAGCATCACCTCCACACAACAAGGGGGCCACAGAAGACCAAATGTCGGCTGACTTTAAGTCGCCAGCACCACCAGATGATGAGCTGACTCTCCATGTCCCGCCTAGCATGCAGCAACAGGAACTTATCAAGTTGATTGATTGATATATATATATATACATATACATACATATAAACAATCAGTTGAGCTTCATTGTGCCATCTGGGGCCCTATAGTGATTTGCTGAGGAAGTGGCAAGATCTTGCAGTTGAGGTCCACCAAGTGTTGAACTGCCACAAAGCCAGGGCGCGATAGCATATCCTGTTGCGTGGGATTCATCAGGACGCGCCCCTGAACTGGGACAAAGCTCCAACCACCAATCTTAACAAAGTCCATGAATTCATACAGAAGACTTTTCTGCTTCTAGCTGTTGCCATTTCAGACGATACATAGCTCCTTCTTAGCTGTTGCCATTTCAGACGACACATAGCCCCCATCCTTGAGTCTTGAAAAGAAACTTTGGCGGCCAACATCCCAGCGGGAGCAGACACCTGGGCCCCATTGAGTACATGGGATTCACTAAGCCCGGCTTCACAAATGCCAAGGGCTTCCAACGCCTAGGCAATCATGGCTCGGATGCAGCTTGCTTTCAACAAACATACGTGGAAATGTCTGTGGAGGAATATGCGAAAAGCACGTGTTGCAAGGAATAGGTCTCAGTCTATGTTCTCTTGGCAAATATCGTGCAGTCTCTCCCTCTCTCACTCACTCTCTCCCTCTCCAAATGGCCTAGTGTGTATGAATGCCAAGTATATAACAGTGTCCAACTGTGTTTGACATCGGCGTTTCCCACAATTGAGGTACCTCCAAATTGTTGCTGTCCAATAAACAATTACCAATTTTGGATGGTTTGGGGTTCAACCCCCATATGAAGCTGGCCAGATTTCCACTTATTGAAGTCGCATCTTTTGGCAAAGACCAAGCACCCAACACCTTGACGCCTGGCATCTTCCATCATCCTTGGCACCGTGCCGCAAATCAAGAAACTGATTTCTTCATCTCTTTGCATGCCATGTTTTCGACTATTTTCGGATGTGCTTTAGACCCTGCTGCCAGGCCGTCGTTGCCGTCGCTTAGAAGCCACTGATTCTTGCGATCATCTCCATTGTCAGATGGAAGGTCAGCCTGTTAACCATGCAGCAGCAATGCGGCGAGCCAATCCGCTTCTGCCACCAATGGCCACCGGCAACCAATGACCCTTTGGACGCCCTGCGCCGAGGGAGAAACTCAGCTCCCGGCTTTAGAACCTCCATCCGCCTGGTTGATGCTTCCACTGCTCGAGCATCGCGGTCTGCCTGCCACAAGAGACAACTCAGACCGGCCCAAACAATCCCTTTCTGCTTGAAAATGTCAAATGTGATTTGTTTGAAAGTTTGATACTGTGTATTTTGTGACCGTTGATATCAACATCTTATGAAATGGTGTGTCATCATTGGAATGAGACGGTTCTTGCATATCGGCGGAGTTGGGTTAGACAACGAATCTATCGCCGCACTGAGAAAGTGCTGAGATGCAGTCGTGACAAATAACATGGGAAACCTTCCGATCGGAAACTTCTGAAGACTTCCTGCCTAGAACTAGTCACTTCTGCTGTTCGCATGTTTCAAGAATCATGCAAACCATTGTCAAGTTTCACATCTGAGAAGGACCAAAGAGCTAACGGCAGCTAACGATCAAGCGTCCATCAATGCCTTCATCTCCAAAGACAGACCAGAAACATCTGAGTGAATCTGTCGAGACAGCACAGACCAATCCGAGGTCTGGCCCTGCCATGGGCTGGAGAGGGGGCATCTAGAAGCGCAGCGGCGCATTCTCAGAAGACTTTCGCAAGAGGAAACTTTGAACACTGCTGTGGAATACAAAAAAATAGAAAACAGACATTCACATAAAATTCACACAATCATACGTCGTCTACTTGCAGACAGCCGGAACTCAAACTTCCAAGTCATGCTTATGCTTTCCTGGATCGCATTCGTGGCATTGGCCAGTTCAGCGGACAGTTGACTGGCCTCAACGGATCCATCGCCAAAAAACACAATCAACACACAGCCGATCAGCTGAAAACAGCTGTTGTGAAACTGCCCAGCTCCACTCAGCTTCAGGCATTTCCAGTGCGTGTGGCCTCCATGTGAAAGG